CCCGCATTGGAGTTACGATCCACTGCCTTGTGGGTCAAACTTTCGAACCAAGGGCTCCTGTTAGGGTTCCCAAAGAACAGCTCCTTCATCGGTGTGTGTGGCTACCGCGAAGTATGTCGTGCCCTAAAGTCTTAGATATTCATTTGGAAAACCCTCCTTCCCATATGTCTAGTTCTTCCTCTTAATCCCGAATAATCTCAAACGCTTGCTGTCTACAAGATCCAGCTGATATTACCCAGCGTTTTACCAACAAGTTCAGACAATCAGAAGTTACAGGATTTTTGAAGCTGAAATTCTCTTTTCACTTAGCCGCGTTCAATATCCGCACACAATCAGAACAGTCAATAAGCTGCCCTAGCTAGAACCCTTGAAACTTTCAATTTAAATGTATGTTGTGTCTCCGAAACGCGCATACAAGACCCCACTTCCATGATCTCCCTGCGTCCTCCTGCTCCAACCTCAACCTCACGCTTCACCCTTTGTGTATCAGGCTATTCGGCGTCCGAAACTCACGGTGTGTCTGGTATCGGGCTTGCGCTAAGTGCCAAGGCTGNTCAGTAGCCGACTGTGTGTCGTACATCTCAATGGTTCAGCGCGGGTCAACAGCTGCAGAACGAAGCGTCGATGTCTATTCGTCGTGTCGGTGTATGCTCCGACCGATTGCAGTACACCTGAAATCAAGGATAAATTCTACAAGGACCTTTATCAATTACTCCAATGCGTTCGATCAACGGACATCGTTGTAATCGCCAGAGACTTCAATGCACCTGACGTAATGTGATGGCTTGTACACCTCTCTGACCCAACGAGCTATACGGGGTGGCTTTTGTCAAGCCGGAAATCTAATCATGCCTGTAAGGTCAATGGGTAGAGGTCAGACGAATTCCAGTCTCCTGGTCCTCCAAGTTGGGGGTTCGACTCGAGTTGCCGTGTTAGTCGGTAAAATGGTAGAGGCGTAATTGATCCAAGTAAATCGGCTTCTACTTCGCTTTACCCGCTGCCTTGTGGTCAGGTTCTTGTCAGAACTAAAGGCTTTGGACGAGAATCCTAATCGTTCTGCTTAGTGGCTGGACACCCTGGCAGTACCCGTCCATCAAACTCAAATACATACACAAACAAAAAGTACTTCCATATTGCGTCGGTCGTCGCGCAGGATAATCAGGACCGCGCTGCCCATTGCATCGAGCTGGGTGGGTAGTGATAAATAGACTACTGCTCAGATATCCCAACCTTTGTTTAACTCTTTATCTTCCGTACCCAACCCTCTTCATTTACCCCTTCTTCCAACCTGTAACATTCCCTCAGACAACTTGTTCGTCACTCGCCAAAGTTCGTTGCCAAGTAACCCGGTAAGTATTTTACCACAGAATAGATTGCATATTCTGAAGCCTCGTCAGCCACTGAATCTGGGGACCTTCAATGTGAGGACTCTGATGCAGCTAGGTCAACAAGCGTGTCTGGCGCGTACCATGGAATCTTTGGGGATTAATATCTGCTGCGTGTCGGAGACTCGAATCTAAGATCCTAGTACTATATGCCACTTGAGTGCACCGCACGTCAAGTGATTCCGAAGCCCGTTCAGTAGGCCAGCGTGGTGTGGGCATTGTACTGAAAAATACAGCCGAAGCCGCACTACTCGATTGGATCCCCGTCAACAGCCGCCTATGTGCGATGCGGCTCCAAGGGTCTATCAGAGTCCGGAAGGGAAGCAACACCAAAAGGTGTTTGTTCATCATTTCAGCATATGCACCGACCAACTGCAGTTCTGACGCACAAAAAGACAACTTTTATGATAAAATCACTGAACTCGTTCGGTTGAGCCGAAGCTCCGATATAGTTGTTCTCTCAGGTGATTTTGATGCTCAAGTTGGAAAAAAAGCGCATCGGAAGCTTGTCTAGGCTGTCATTGTGCTCTGCCCCGCCAGCGAACAGATAATGGCGATCGAATTCTTCAGTTCTACGCAGATCATCATCTGTTCCTATCCAGCACCAACTTCCGACACAGCTCTCAACGGACAGCAACGTGGCGCTCAAATTCGACTGGCACGCTAACTCAGATCGATCACATAGCATTAAGCTACCGTTGGCGTGGATCATTACAAACTGCAGATCCTATTGGACCACCTGCGTTTAATCTGGTCATACATTGGTTTTGATGCAGTTCACTCTCCAACTCACTAGTCGCAGAAAATCCCACCAAACTCGATTGGCGAATCATCGCTTATCTGACTCAGCCGTTCGTAGCCGTTTTGAATCCGAACTAGGGAAAGAGCTAAACGCGCTGCTGGGTGGTAGTGTAGATGAACAATGGGATCAGACTAGCCGAGCAATGCACTCCGCAGCGAATGTTGCTTGTGGATCTGTAGTAGTAGCCCGCCCGAGACATTGGATATCTGATGAATCAGTCGCACTGACTGGGAAAAAACGGCAAATCCCGACCGACGGATCAAGGCAGAGTTAGGTGGCGTCTACTACGTCAACTCACGAGGAGCCTTAAGAAAGACCGTGAGAACTGGTGGGCAACGGTAGCTAGTGAAATGGAAGTAGTAGCTGCATCGAGGGATAGTCAAAGACTGTTCCAACTGATACGCAAAACGGGAGGTCGGCAGACCACAGTTAGTGAAACAATCTGCGACAAAAGTGGACAAGCTATTCACAATAGGAAACAAAGGCTTGACCGGTGGGCGGAGTACTTCAACCAACAGTTCAGCTCTCCAGGCGCTAACTAGGCTATCTCCTCCGATGTGGCTGAGGCTCTGTGGGTAGTGTCATCTGAGCCTCCTACTGCAGCAGAAGTTCCTTCT